TTTTTTGAAAAAGAGCAGTTTCTGTCAGAGCTCTCTCAGCCCCACCTCCTCACAAGGTGTCTGTTGTGGGGAGGGGAAGGGGAAGGAGTTTGTAAGCCGCTCTGAGACTCCTTCGGGTAGTGAAGGGCGGGGTATAAATCCAATCTCTTCTACTACTACTACTACAAACTGGCAGCCTGCGAGAAGGGTTGAGTAATTTTGGAAGTCCCACTGTAGCTCCGAAATCTCCTCCCCTGGGATTCTGTCAGCCACCAGAGGCTTGAGCAGGCGGATTTCCATTGCCCCTTCTGTGGCAAGAGTCCCCAGTGGGAGGCCTGTGGGCACCATGGTGCCTGCTGGCACCTTTCCTGGCACTCATCAAATGTTTTTAGAAAATGGGCAGAGCTTTGGCCCAGCAAAGCTTTTGATGGGCTGTGCAGATTTTAAAAAAATGTCGCTTTGGCAGCAGCTGCCACCACAGCACAGGGAATCTTCACTGTGTGACTGAAGGTCAGCTGTGGCAGCCATTTGGTGGCTGGCTCCGCCTTCTGCGGTGAACATTTTGTGGTTGTACCCACCACGCTGTGCCAGATTCCAGAGGTGCCCGTGGGCTCAAAAGGGTTGGGGGGCCCCTGGCTGTATTGGCATCTGGAGATTCCCCCTCTTCCTTTTTCTGTAGATTTGTGACACGTAAACTGGGTCTTGTGAGGTTGACAGGGGAACAGGGAAGGTGCAGCACTTTGCCCAAGCCCTGGAACAGATGCCCATCAAGGCTGGTTTAGTTGCCACTGGCCGCTGACCAGTTGAGGGGTTCAGAGCCGGAACTCCACCCCCGTGGAGGGGAAAAAGCCAGTCTAAGGCAGAACGAAGTTTGATCATTCCCCCCACCACCACCTTGGATTTGGTGCTGGCATTCCAGTACCCCGTTTCCTTTCCTCTGGTTTGGAGGTTTTCAGCACTTCCTTCCCCATTTCCCTCAGCTGGAAGAAGAGGGACTACCTCCAGATTACGATATCTCTTGGGCATGTGTGCATTCTTTGTGTCCCAGAAAATATTCCGTTTTCATCAGGTTGCTTTTTTCTCTTGCTTGATGTCTAGAGTCATATTTTTCTGCCTGCCTCACTTTCGACTGGGGGCGGGGTTGCAGAGAAAGGGCTTCCCGAAAGGATCTCTGAACAGGCTCAGGTGTGTCCCTGACCCAAATGCAGGAGTTGTGCATTGCCTTTCAGGCCCGGTGTACCCACCCACCACCCTATAAAGATAGGCTGGTAGATAGTGCTGGGGAGGAGCCAGTGGTCGTGGTGCATGTCGGCACCAACGATGTGGGGAAATGCAGTCGTGAGGTCTTGGAGGAGAAATTTAGGCTGCTGGGCAGGAAACTCAAGGCCAGGACCTCCAAGGTAGCCTTCTCAGAAGTGCTACCTGTTCCACGCGCAGGGCCGGAGAGACAGGCACAGATCCGGAGTCTCAATGCGTGGATGAGACGATGGTGTAGGGGGGAAGGGTTCAGGTTTGTTAGGCACTGGGATTCTTTTTGGAACAAGAGGGAGCTGTACAGGCGAGACGGTCTCCACTTGTCCCGAGAAGGAACCAGGCTGCTGGCACTTAAAATCAAAAAGGTGGCAGAGCAGTTTTTAAACTGAATATTGGGGGAAAGCCGACAGGAGACAAGAAGTCTCTGGTTCGGGTTGGCTCATCTCAGAGAGATGAGGGGGTACCTGTTGCTTTTCTACAGGGAGGTGGATTGAAATTGTCCACTGAGACCATGGCTAGTGACATGGACTGCCTGACAAGGTCTCGAGATAGCAAGAGGAAGGTGGCAAGCTTAACCAGTATGGGAAATTACAGCTGTTTCTATACAAATGCTCGAAGTGTCCGAGGTAAAATCGGGGAGTTGGAGTGCTTGGTGTCAGAGGGAAAAATAGACATTGAGGGTATTTCAGAAACTTGGTGGGATGAGGAAAATCAGTGGGATACGGTGATTCCCGGTTATATATTATATCGGAAGGATAGGGGGGGAAGGGTTGGAGGTGGGGTGGCTCTGTATGTCAGAGAGGGTATAAAGTCCAGAAAGATCGAGAGGCTAAGAGAATTGGATTCGCTTCTTGAAGTTCTGTGGGTTGAAATAGGGGGGCCAAAAGGAAACTTAACACTGGGAGTTTGTTATCGCCCACCGGATCAAAAGATAGAGGAGGATTATAAAATGATGAATGAATTAAAGATAGCAGCTAGACAAAAACACTGTGTCGTAATAGGTGATTTTAACTACCCACACATTGATTGGGTCAATATGTGTTCTAGTCGAGAGAAAGAGATTGAGTTTCTAGACACTCTAAATGACTGTGCTATGGAGCAGATGGTCATGGAACCTACCAGGGGAGAGGCGATCCTTGATTTGGTCCTAAGTAACACTCAAGACCTGGTGAGAGATGTAAAAGTGATTGCACCGCTTGGGAACAGTGATCATAATGTTGTTGAGTTCAACATTTGTACAAATAGGGAATTGGCCAAAAAGACTCACACAACCACTTTTAACTTTAAAAGGGGTAATTTTTCTGATATGAGGGGACATGTGGGGAGGAAACTGAAGGGAAAAGTAGAAAGGGTCAAAACCATTGGGGAAGCTTGGAAACTGTTTAAAACTACAATTCTAGAAGCTCAAATAAAATATATTCCGCAGGTTAGGAAAGGCACAAACAGGTATAAGAAAAAGCCTACATGGTTAACAAACAAAGTAATGGAAGCTGTAAAAGGTAAAAAGGATTCCTTTAAGCGGTGGAAAGCTAGTCACAGTGAGGCTGATAAAACAGAACACAGGCTATGGCAAATAAAATGCAAGTCTGTGGTCAGGCATGCAAAAAGGGAATATGAGGAGCATATAGCAAAAAATGTAAAGACCAACAATAAAACTTTCTTCAAATACATTAGAAACAGGAAACCAGCCAGGGAGGCAGTGGGGCCCTTGGATGACCAAGGGGTAAAAGGAGTACTGAAGGATGATAGGGAAATGGCTGAGAAGCTAAATGCATTTTTTGCCTCCGTCTTCACTGTGGAAGATGAGAGGTGCTTGCCCACTCCAGAGCCGCTGAGTTCGGGAGGGGTGTTGAAAGACCTGAGTCAGATTGAGGTGACGAGAGAGGAGGTCCTAAAACTGATAAACAACTTAAAAACTGATAAATCACCAGGCCCAGATGGCATACATCCAAGAGTTCTGAAAGAACTCAATTGTGAACTTGTGGATCTCCTGACAAAAATATGTAATCTCTCCTTAAAATCAGCCTCCATTCCTGAGGACTGGAAGGTAGCTAATGTCACTCCCATCTTTAAAAAGGGTTCCAGAGGAGATCCGGGAAATTACAGGCCTGTCAGTCTGACGTCGATACCGGGTAAATTGGTGGAAACCATTATTAAGGAAAGAATTAGTAGGCACATAGATGAACAAAACCTATTGAGGCAGACTCAACATGGGTTCTGTAAGGGAAGATCTTGTCTCACTAACCTGTTAATGTTCTTTGAGGGGGTGAACAAACATGTGGACAAGGGGGATCCAATAGATATTGTTTACCTTGACTTCCAGAAAGCTTTTGATAAAGTTCCTCATCAAAGGCTCCTAAGCAAGCTCAAAAATCATGGGATAAAAGGACAAGTCCTTTTATGGATCAAAAACTGGCTAATTAATAGAAAACAGAGAGTGAGTATAAATGGGCAGTTCTCCCAGTGGAGGGGTGTAAGCAGTGGGGTACCACAGGGATCAGTACTTGGTCCACTGCTTTTTAACTTGTTCATTAATGATTTGGAGTTGGGAGTAAGCAGTGAAGTGGCTAAATTTGCGGATGATACGAAGTTGTTCAGGGTGGTGAAAACCAGTGAGGATTGTGAGGCACTCCAAAGGGATCTGTCAAAGTTGGGCGAGTGGGCGTCAACATGGCAAATGGGGTTCAATGTGGCCAAGTGCAAGGTGATGCACATTGGAGCCAAAAATCCTAACTATAAATACACGTTGATGGGGTCTGAACTGGCAGAGACAGATCAAGAGAGAGATCTTGGAGTTGTAGTAGATAACTCACTGAAAATGTCGAGACAGTGTGTGACTGCAATAAAGAAGGCCAATGCTATGCTGGGGATTATTAGGAAGGGTATTGTAAACAGATCAGCCAATATCATAATGCCGCTATATAAATCAATGGTGCGACCTCATCTGGAATACTGTGTGCAATTCTGGTCACCACACCTTAAAAAGGATATTATAGCTTTGGAAAAAGTGCAGAAAAGAGCAACTCGAATGATAAAAGGGTTGGAACACTTTCCCTATGAGGAACGGTTAAGGCGCTTAGGGCTCTTTAGCTTGGAGAAACGACGACTGAGGGGTGACATGATTGAGGTTTATAAGATTATGCATGGGAAAGAGCAGGTAGAGAAAGAGGTACTTTTCTCCCTTTCTCACAATACAAGAACCCGTGGGCACTCCATGAAATTGCTGAGCGGTCGGGTTAGAACGGATAAAAGGAAGTACTTCTTCACCCAAAGAGTGATTAACACTTGGAATTCACTGCCACAGGAAGTGGTGGCAGCTACAAGCATGGACGGCTTCAAAAGGGAATTAGATAAGCATATGGAGCAGAGGTCCATCAGTGGCTATTAGCCACAAGGTATAGATAGGGACTCTGGGGCAAGTGATGCTCTGTCATCTTGGTGCTGGGGGGGGGTCAACAGTGGGAGGGCTTCTAATGTCCTGGCCCCACTGGTGGACCTCCTGATGGCACTGGTATTTCTGGCCACTGTGGGGATACAGAGTGTTGGACTGGATGGGCCTTTGGCCTGATCCAACATTGGCATCTCTTATGTTCTTATGTTAAAACCCACCAATTCAATCTGCAAGGGCCCTTTGGGTGTGGAAAAGATGTCTTCTGTTGGCCTATCAAAGCCTTTTAACATATCAAAATGAAAGGGGGTCTCTAGCCATGTTTCCCGCTGAGTAAAACCCTGTCTTCTGTGTCTCACTGCTTGCGGATGGTATCTAGACAAAACCCGACCTGCGATGCCACTCCCGAAGCCAAATCCTGCTGTGAAAGGCACCTCCAGAAAACAGCTGACCCAGGTGAGTGGAGCAGCAGAACCTGAACAGGGAACCTGCTTGGCTTGGGGGTTGTGGTCTCACAAATGAGTGAGTCCTGTGCATGCCATGATGAGTCTCTCTGCCTGACTGCCACATGTGGCTGTGTGCTGCTGCTGAGGGCTTTCCCTTTGCCCCTGACTTGGCTGCGCCTGGGTATGGTGAGGACAGTCCCTGCATGCGGACCCTTCCCCTCTGCCTTCTCACCGCTTCCTGGAAATGGCGTCCCCAAGGCCCGTGGCACCCTCTATCTCTGTGCAGGGAACTCATCCGTGGAGGCCTTGGCACCTAGCCCTCTTGCTGACTTACGGGCCAAGGGGGCCCATAGGGGACATCAGAATCAGCGGGTTTGGCCATGTCTTGGGTGTCGCGGGGATCTGTTTCGTCAGCCACGCTCTCTGTTCATGAGGCTACTGAAAGTGGAGCTCTGAGCAGAAATGTGAAGGCCCAGGGGAAAAAAAGGAAAAGTTGGGGGGGAATTTTTTTCCCTGAGGACTACTTTCAATTTTTCCAGCAGAAAAACTGGGACATTTGGGAGAGCAGTGAGAACTTCCTTTGGAGTATTTTCTTAAGTGTTTCACTCATTTCAAATGTATTGCATGAAAAAGTCTGAGGACTTCCTGGAAAAATTTGGAGGGTACTGAAAAAAATCTTTGGTTTTTCCCGCCTTTTGAAAGGAGTGAAATGTACAAAACAATGTTTTACTCGAAATGTGTAGTATAAGCATTTTAATGTAAGAATCTACAGCATTAAGTAATGATAATGTCTATGTGCATTGTATTCATATACCTCATTTTCAAAAACTTTTATTTATGTGTCAATCATTTTGGCAACAATTAATGTTATAAGGTGTTCAATAATACAACATTTTCAAGTTTATAAAGCTTAACATGCAAATACGCTATTGTTGGTCCTACCTATTGTGGCTGAGTTTCTATCCAAAGGATACTTTGTTTTTTTTACTATAGAATTTGTCTTCAACTTTTATTTTTTGCTGCCTCTCAGCTGGCAGAAATTAAGATCCATCTGCTATATTAGCACAGGGTACAGCAGTTTGCACTTCTGTCTCAAGTACGGGGCATAAGTTTAGCATATCTAGTCTTGGAGTTGGATGTCGTCAATATGCACTTCATTAATTCAGCTTCCAGATGCATCTGTCCTGGCCCTGAACCAGTGTTTTGAGGCTGTGGTTAAGTAGGTGAAGCGAAGCTGAATCCAGGCAAAATGGGGGAGATGCTGGCTGGAAGGGCAGATGCTTGGGAAGGCTTGAATCTGTGTTTTTTAAAATAATTTTTTATACATTTATGAACAATAAAACATTAAACTAAACAAATAGAATAAACAAACTCAGTGGTAACCCTCATAAACTGATTAACAAACATTTGATTAGATGTTTCATATACTAAATTTATAAACAGGCTAGAATTTCTTTATGTGATGGTGGCATATAGTTGGTTATTGTAGATTGATTATTGTGCATATAGTCCAAGAACGGGGTCCATTTAGCCAGCAAATTTGAGGTAAGTTGATGACCATCTGTCCTCTTTATGGAATCTGCAATTTTGTCCATCGTCAAAAGTTCCCAAATTTTAGTAAACCATCGTCCACAGGAAGGCTTGAATCTGTTGGTGGCGAATAAAAGTGAGATGGCCACTGCAGAGCAGGTTAAGAGCTTGGAGATGCTCTCAGATTCCAGGCTTGTCTAAAAAGCAGGTTGGGGTAGGGCAACCAACAGTGCCTTCTGTCAGTTGCCTCTGGTTCTTTAGCTCTCTCCGTGCTTTTGTAACTGCATAGCTGGTCTGCTGTAGCACATTCTACATTGGGCTACCCTTGAAGACAACCTGGATATTGCAGCTGGTTCAGAATGGTTAGTGAACACATTTGCAGGTCAGTTTAAAAACAAAACAGTAGACAATTCGATAACAATGCCAATTTCAATTACAGATGGCGCAAAGAAACCAATTTTATCCTTACCTCGTGGGAAAGTGCTCTCTCTCACTCTCCTTTTGTGCCAGCTGTGCTCTTCAGATTGCCATCTTCTGGCTGTTCTCTCACTAAGGGTAGCCTGTCTGGCATCAATGAGGGCCTGAGCATTTTCTGTTGTTGCTGCCCCCCCCATAGTGTGGGCTACCCAAGTGCCATCCTTGGAAACATTCTGGAAGCTCTGCAGGGCTGCTTTCTTCACCAGAGCTTTGAACAGGGCGAAGATTGAGGCTGGGTGGAGTTTGGGGTTTTTATTGTTCTTATAGCATATTGGAAACCTCCCTGAGCCATAGGGAAAGGCAGGATATAAATAGGGGATTGGCCAAAGGCTTCACAGAAAAGGTGGGAGGTGGGCTCACTCTGGTATAGGAGGAGGAGTATTCAGGCGTCAGGGTACTGAGGGAGCGGGGTGCATTTGTGTACCTGCTTATATGCAGGGCTGTGCCAGGGTATACTGGAAGGGAAGGTGAGGCTAGGGAAGGCTCTGACTGTAAGGACTCAGCATTTTTGCTTGACCTGGTTGGGGGAGGGAAGCCAAGTTTGGCATCCAATGAGGGGGCAGGCTTGAATAACAACAGGCTATTAGGAGCAGTGAAGGAGAAAGGGAGGGATTCTGACCGTGAGGTTCATTTTGCAGGGAGACTTTTCCCAGTCTTGTGTAGACCAGGAATGAGAGTCATGCTGGAAGGGGGACAGAGGATCTTGTCTGCTGAGTGCTTTGGAGATGTGGCCTTGTTCATCTTGGGGGGGGGGGGTTCCTTTGTTTTCTTCCAGATGTCCCCTGAGGCAGAGAATTTGGCTCGACTGCTGGAATCTCAGAACCTGCTTTTAACATACGCCTCTGTAAAGGTAAGCAGCCTTAGGGTGAATGCAGTCTTCTTTTTTAAAAACAACAACAACAACAACAACCCCAAAACCCTGACTCTACAAGATGCGCATTCAGCTGTTTTTGAATCCGTTGATCATGCTGCTGTCCTAACAGATGGAGAAATACCTTGCCACCTTGGAGGAGAAAGCGGAGAGGAACTTGCTGGCACTCTCGGAGGAATGCGAGAAGCTTCAGAGGGAGGCGCACAGGAAGAAACGCAGACTTCTGCAGCTGAAGAAAAAGCAGGACCTCAGTGAGGCACTGGACAGACAGGTTGGAGCTGGGGCTGTGGGGGGGGGAGGGGTACTACATCTGCCTCCTGTGCCTGTACAATTGAGAGTTATGCTTCCCAGCCTTTCCCCATTATCCTGGAGGTCTCATGGCAAGGGGTGCTGCCCAGATGTCCTTGGTCTGGCAGAGCACCTATTTTGTGTGCAGAAGGTCCCAGTTTCGACCCCAGAATCTCTGCGTAGGCAGCTGCCAGGCAAAGAAAGACAGTACTGAGGAGCAGGGGCCAATGGTCTGTCTCAGGAGCCGGGGGACAGGGAAAAGGGATGGGAAACTGCTGGGGAGTCGATTCAGGTGGGCAGCCACATTTGTCTAAAGCAACCGAACAAACGAGTCCAGTGGCACCTTTCAGACCAGCAAAGTTTTAATTCTGTATGCACACAAAAGCTTGTACACAGAATTAAACTTTGTTGGTCTTAAAAGTGCTACTGCAGTCAAACTTTGTTTTGCCGGGAAAAGTGTTTGTGGTTTATTTCAGTTCCTCGGCTGATGGTTTTATGAGTGGGTCTTCCTCCTCTGCTTCCAGCTTGAAGTGCTTGCCCCTGTTGCAGAGCGATGTGCCAGGTTCCATGAAGAGTACAAGCACTTTGCCACTGCCCTGGACTCAACGCGGCATGAACTGCCACTGAAAGAGATCCATGTGGGAGAGAACCAGCATCAGTACCTTGGTAGGCAAACCAAGCAGCTTGTGTGCATGTTTGCGCTCGCACTTTCTCTCTCTCCCTCCCTCTCTCTCTCCTTCCCCCCCTCTCCTCCCTCCCTCCCTCCCAAAGCCAGCTAAATTAGGAAACCTTATTAAATCTAGCAAATGTCTGCGGACTTGCTTCTCTTGCTTCTGGTTTTTCTAACCAGGGAGAAGGGCACAAAAGACCTCCCTTTCCCATTGTTCTCTAAAGCAGTGTTTCTTTCAATGCTCATAGAACTTGGCATATGTACAGAACACTCGGTAATCCTCAACAACAGTGCTGTACGGCAGCCTAGAATGAGTCCCATATTGCAGAAATGGGGATAGGGGGCTGAGAATACGACCCCTGCCTAAGGCAGTTCAGCACCCTTCCCTCATAAGAACATAAGAGAAGCCATGTTGGATCAGGTCAGTGGCCCATCCAGTCCAACACTCTGTGCCACACAGTGACCAAAACCCAGGTGCCATCAGGAGGTCTGCCAGCTTGGCCAGAACTCCAGAAGCCCTCCCACTGTTGCCCTCCAAGCACCAAGAATACTGAGCATCAGTGCCCCAGACAGTGTTCCATGTATACCTTGTGGCTGATGGACCTCTGCTTGATGAGTCCAGTCTTCTCTTGAAGCTGTCTATACTTGTAGCCGCCACCACTTCTTGTCTCAGTGAATTCCGCGTGTTAGTTACTCTTTGGGTGAAGGATTTCCTTTTATCTGTTCTAAGCTAGCTGCTCATTAATTTCATTGAGTGCCAATGAATTCTGGTATTGTGAGAAGAATTCTGGTATTGTGAGAAAGGGAGAAAATGCTTCTCTTTCTACTTTCTTTGTGAGAAGAATTCTGGTATTGTGAGAAAAGGAAAATGCTTCTCTTTCTACTTTCTACTGCATAATTTTGTTAACCTCTATCATGTCACCCCTCAGTCGTCATTTCTCCAAGCTAAAGAGTCCTAGCCTCTTTAACCTTTCTCCATAGGGAAAGTATTCCATCCCATTAATCATTTTAGTTGTCCTTTTTTGCCCCTTTTCCGCACCTTTTCCAGTGCTATAATATCTTTTTTGAGGTGCGGTGACCAGAACTGTACACAGGATTCCAAATGAGGCTGCACCATAGATTGAGAGGCATTATGATACTGGCGGATTTGTTTTCAGTTCCCTTCCTAATAATCCCCAGCATATCATTTACCTTTTTTATTGCAGCCGTGCACTGCCATCTACCATGACTCCAAGATCTCTTTCCTGGTCAGTTACAACCAGTTTGGACCCAATCAATGTGTATATATAGTTGGGGGTTTTGGCTGCAGTGTGCATTACTTTGCACTTGCCCAAGCTGAACCTCATTTGCCAAGTTGATGCCCACTTGTCCTGCCTCGACAGATCCCTCTAGAGCTCCTCACAATCCTCCCTGGTTCTCGCCACCCTGAAGTTAGTGTCATCCTCAGACTTATCCAATTCACTGCTTACTCCCAACTTCAAATCATTAATGAACAAGTTAAAAAGTACCAGACCCAGTACTGAGCCCACATACGTCTAAGCCCTGTCCTTGCGTCATGCCTTGCGGGGTTGATTGTGTTTGAATTTCATTTCCTTCATTGAAATGTTGTCTGCTTGAGGCAGCTAACAATGAAATGCAGAAACAATGGAGTCACTTAAGGAGGGGCTTAAAAATATAAATACTCCCGAGCTAAATTTCAAATATTGCTCAGCTTTGTAATCTCAAATCTACTTTAAATCAGGAAACAGAAATAAAATATTTTTAAACCCCTGATGGCCCAAAGCCTATTAGAAAATGGGGATTTTTTTTCCTTCTTAAAGACCAGAGTGACGTGGCTGGCCCTTCCCATTTTGAAGGAGGAGGGAATGACTTCATGCATACCTGCTTGAGCTCCTGGGAGCTGTGGGGTGCAGGACTTCTTTGCGTCTGACCTGCAACAAGGAAGAGTTGGCTTTTCGTAACTATCTCTAACCCACTCATTGGGAGGTGAATCATCATCCCCCATATGGAGTTCTTCCTTCCTGCTCTACAGTGCGCCGACAAGGCTGTGCCACTCCCTGTATGCCCCCCAAGTTGAAGAGCTGGCATCCAGCAGGACTGGCAGGCCTTGCAGCTGATTCTGACCCAGACCCACTTAGCTTTCCCCAAGACGGCTGCATCTCATCTCCTTCAAGAAGAAGAAGAGATTGGATTTATACCCTGCCCTTCACTTGGAGTCTCAGAGCGGCTTACAAGCTCCTTTCCCTTCCCCTCCCCACAACAGACACCCTGTGAGGTGGGTGGGGCTGAGAGAGCTCTGACACAAACTGCTCTTTCAGGAACAGCTGTGCCAGAGCTTGTGACTGACCCAAGGTCACATCAGCAGGTGCAAGTGGAGGAGTGGGGAATCCAACCCGGTTCTCCCAGATTAAAGTCCGTACACTTAACCACTACACTGGCTTCGAGCCCGTGTTTATGTGGATCTGCTGTGTGGGCTTGATTTGAACTGACCGTGGTGCTTCGCTTGAACTGATACTGAACTGTGTTGGCTGTGGGACTTGTATGTGGCCTTTTAAGCCAGGTTTAGCAAATAAACCTTGCCATCGCCAACGGTGAGAATCTCTTTCCAGCAGTCGGTTTCGCAGGGACCAGGACGATTTTCGGCTTAGCTCCAAATTGCTTTTGGTTGCCTCTGATTCACGCGTGCAGGGGAATCATGTGGCAGGAAAGACTCAAGAGGGAGTTGAGGTTTGGACATCATTTTGCATTAGTGAAACCTCCAAATGTATATAAAAAGCTTCCATCTCCAATTTGTTTGCTGAGCTGAGAGTTTTTAACAGAGGGTAATCATTCCAAAAGGTGGCCTTCCCCATAACAGTCGACCACAGCATCGTTCCTTTTGCTGCATGTGTGAGCCAGACCTCCAGCCAGTGGTGCTGCTGTATGAAACTGACCCTGGCACCTCTTGTTGTGTGTGCTTTCTCTTCCCGGGCAGCTGACATGCAAGAACAGCTGATTGCCACTCAGAACATTTTGAAGCAGTATCCACAAGAACACTTGGAGGACAACGCCCAGGTGCTGGCTGTGATGAAGGAGCTGGAGGAGGCGTCTCTGAAGCTGAACGATGAGCTCCCAAGGTACTTTTAGGGAGTTCACCACCCCCAAACCCTTGAGCTGTTTTGGGGTGTGGGGAGGAGAGTCTCAAAACATTCAGAGCGTTTGGTGAGCACTCCTGCATATTGCCCTTGCATCACTTGGCAGAGGGCCTGCAGGAGAACAGTGTGTGCGCACGTTCTGGCAGCTGTCCCTTGCTTTTGTGTGCAGGCTTTGCGTTTTTCTCTGCTCCTTCTCCCAGCAAGGCTGTGGGGGGGGGGGTATCCCTCAGAGGATGGCCTTCTGCAGCCCTGTTTAGCTTCACTCATCAGGCTCCTTTTATCACATGCCCCTTCTGTCACTCGGCTGCCCAAAGAGCTGACTTCCAGAGGAGGAGCAGGAAGAACATTAAAGCCATTTCCCATCCTTATTGGCCGTTGGCATTAATTCTCTTAATTGGAGTGGTTTGCAGCGTCAGATGCTGACAGCAGCCAGTCGGTGCAATCCTCCCATTGATCATCCTCCGTGGAGGCTTGCTGGGTAACCTTGGGCCAATCAAACATTCTCAGCCTAACCTTCCTCATAGGGTTGTTGGGAGGATTAAATGAAAGCGAGGAGGACGATGCAAGCCGCTTTGGGTCTCCACTGGGAAGAAAGACGGTATATGAATGAAGTAAATAAATACACTGGTTAGATCTCCCCTTGAGTATTGTGTTCAGTTTTGGGCACCACAATTTAAGAATGATCTAGACAAACTGGAACTTGTCCAGAGGAGGGCAACAAAAATGATGAGGGGGTCTGGAGACCAAGTCCTATTAGGAAAGGTTGAGGGCACTGTTCCTTCTAAGTTGAGTTAGTGTGAGCTAGCTCACAGTTTTTTAGCCTCCGGCTCACACATTTTTGCCTTGGCTCAGGAAGAATGGCTCCAGAGGAAATTAATTTATGCAGCAGCCAAATAGCTCGCTCACAACTTGAATGCCAGTAGCTCACAAAGTGGAATTTTTGCTCACAAGACTCCACAGCTTAGAGGGAGCATTGGTTGAGGGAGCTGGGTATGTTTGGCTTGGAGAGGAGATGACTGAGAGGTGATATAATAACCGTATTCAAGTACTTGCCCCAAAAGGTCAGACCAGAACCAACAGGTTGAAATTAAAAGAGTTTTCAGTTAAACATTAGGAAGAACTTCCTGACAAGAGTGGTTCCTCAGTGGAACAGGCTTCCTCTGGAGGTCGTGGGCTCTCCTTCTTTGGAGGTTTTGAAGCAGAGGCTAGATGACCATCTGACAGCAATGATCACAAGAGGGAGGACAGGGAGGATTGCCTCAGTGCTTAGTTCTTGTGGTCCTTTCTTGCATGCCCAGGGAAATGCCGATCACCACTTTGTGGTCAGAATGCAGGAAACTGCCAGTAGAGCCTGTGCTGCTCTGCCAGTGGTCTATGGCCATCCACTGTAAGCTGTCTTAGACAGAGTTAGGCCTTGGCTCTATTGCCTACACTAACTGGTGGCAGCTCCCCAGGGTCTTGGGTGGAGGAGGGGCCTTTATCTGTTCCTCCCACTCCAAGTGTTTTGCCTGGAGGGGCTGGAATCTGGGGCTTTCTGGGTGCTCAGCACAGGAGCCTCAAAGGCCTGCACAGTTTTGCCCAGTCCACTCTCAGCTGATGCACGCCGATGCAGACCCCGTCCAACGCCTTTGTGGACCTTCTGCTCTTGACCCCCGGGGCCATTTGCTTCTAAGCCTGTTCCTCTTTTACAGGAGCTTTGCCACCGTGCTGAGCCTGTCTGCTGACGTGAGCAAGGAGATCTCGCTGCACCACCAGAAAAGCTGTGAAGACACCTTGGGACTGGAGGCCATGAAGCAGTATTACTTCCCTTAGGCCCCCACAGCAGGCCTTGGACTGTTGGCCCAGAGGGGGGCTGGACTGGCGCCACTTCCCCTGACAATGGGTTCAGTGCGGGAATTGCGCCAGCCGCTGTTTCACATGTAATATGTTTTGTATTAAACACTTTTTCACTGCAAGGACACTTTCTCGCTGCTTCAGTGAATGAATCTTTCTGTTCCTGCGTGGAAATAACTGAACTCCCATTCTGAAATGCCACCTCCTTCAGCTGTGATAACTGAATAGAGCCTCCACACAGGGTGGCCTTTGAATGCCAAACTTTGCTAGTCACCTGCCCTGAGGCATCTTGGATCTGCTTGGGATGCTCGCAAGGCTGTTCCAGCGGTATCCTCAGGAGACAGGCAGAGGCCTGGTTCGGCATTTTACCCTGGAGAGTGACCCACGGACTGCACAGAGAAAGGGGCTTAGAAGGGGGCCAACTCTTCATAGGTGGGGGCCTGAGAAAAGGCAGTATTTTTACCTCCACCCTGGTAGTAGCTTCTGTTCTGCACAAGTGGCTTGCCATTCACTCCTGTGTGGGAAAAGGAGAGCTCCCCACTGGACCTCAGTGAGCGAGGGGTGCCAAAGGTGAGTCCCCCTGATCTTCCTAACATGCTGCTGTCCCTTTCCTGTGAGTTCTGTTACTTATAGTTTGCCTTTCTTGTCTGCTGAGACTCAGGATGGATTACAATGTTTTTCCCCAATGATCCATCAGTAGAAGACATCTACTTGTAGTGTAAGTAGGATTACAGAACTGGGAAACAATGAGCGAAGTATTCAGGGCAGAGCACAGAAGGAAAGGTGAGGTGCTCATGTATATTGGTGGATCCATTGTGCAGTGGGAATAAAACTCTCAGGAGCCAATTTTGAAGAAATCTCATTTTTAAATGAGCAAATGGCACAACAGAAACTGAAGAGGCCTTTGACCTTTATATAGTTAGAGCAGTCTGGAATCTATTAGACTGACATGCAGAGAAAGGAACTATTTGTTGTGAAAACAAGTGGGGCTTTTTACAATTGATGTGAAGACCAAGTGTAATGCATGTCTCCAAGGCCTGGGAGACATGCACCTGTAGTTTCTTCCACTGTATTGGCCAAAAACAACTAGTCATTTAAATATGGATACACGGCACAACCCTTTGATCCAAGAAAAGCCATCACTGCTGTGAAGACCCTGGGGGCTGTGGCAAGCTCGAAAGGAAGAACAGCATATTCATAATTAATGTCTCCAACCTGGAATCTCAGGTATTTTCTGTGATGAATGTTAACATAAATATGGAAACATGCATCCTGGAGTTCCAGGACGGCAAACCAATCGCCAGCTTTAAGGAATTGCCCCACCAATGCCAAAGACAGCATCTTAAACCTTCAAACATAGAACATATTAAGATCCCTGCAATCCAGAGTAGAACAAGACCCCATCCCTTTTCTTTATTAAGAAAAAACTGAATGAAAACCACTTTTGAGTCTGCAGAGCTCACTACAAAAACTGCCTGTTAGTCAACAATATTTGTAACTCAGCCAACAGAGCTGGTTCAGGGGTAGAATGCTTGCGTGGAGGAGGCTACAACACCTGGTGCTTCGCTTGCATCTCTTCCACTCTGCCCTGTTGTTGGCTGGCCACTCTGTGAGACAGGATGCTGGACTAGAGGGACCCTCACTGGTCTGATCCAGTAGGGCTCTTCTGAGGTTCTTATGAAGGCCTTGGCCTCTGTACCCTCTTGTTGGCCGTTCAGAGGAACCGTTTGGTCACTGCGAGACAGGATGCTGTACTTGATGGACCCTCACTGGTTTGATCCAGCAGGGCTCTTCTGAGGTTCATCTCAGAGGAAGGTCTTGGCCTCTGGCCTGTTGTTGGCTGTTCAGAGGAACTGTCTGGCCACTGTGTGAGACAGCATGCCGGATTAGGTGGACGCTCAACTGGTCTGACCCAGCAGGGCTCTCTTCTTACGTTCCTGTGTGAAGGCCTTCTAGGTTGCGGCTCTGGGGATCTTTCCCCGCAAGGAGAGTTGCCTGTGCAGACATTTTGGTTTCGGCTGGCATTCTCTCCGTGATTCATCCTTCCTTTTCGCTTTTGACGGTTTTTAAGGATGAGTTCGACCCGTTAGCCAACCGAGTTGGACGACAGTAATAAACCTTACAAGTAAGTGATTAACTATTGGAGCTGCGGTGGCTCGAGTGGTTAAGACGCTGAACTGCAGGCTGTGGAAGGTCAGTAGTTCAGCAGTTCAAGACCCGGGTGCCGCAAGACGGGGTGAGCCCGTCTCTAGTTCCAGCTCCTGCCAGCCTAGCAGTTCGAAAGCAAGAAATTGCAAGTAGATTAATAGGTACCACTTCGGTGGGAAGGTAACGGCGTTCCGTGCGCCTTGGTGTTTAGTCAGGCCGGCCACATGACCACGGAAATGTCTTCGGACAGCGCTGGCTCTTCGGCTTTGAAACGGAGATGAGCACCGCAACCCTAGAGTCGGATTCGACTGGCTTTCGAGCAAGGGAACCTTTACCTTTTAAGCGAATAACTACAACGGCCCTGGAAAGGGACTGGGGCGAACAAATAGGCCGTCGTGCGCATGCCTGGCCCTCCCAGCCTCGCGCGTGCGCCCTCGGGCTCGTCCCCCCGCCTGCCCTTTTCCTCCAACCCGGAAGTGGTTCTCGTGACGTCACGGGAGGAGGCCCCTCCCCGTGGATGCTGCGGCGGGAGAGGCCGGGCGGGGCCGCGCTGCCGGCTCCCTTCCCAGGTAAGGCTCCGCGGGGCGTCGGGGAGGCCGGCATGCACCCCCCCACACACACACACACCGTCCTTTGGCTTGTCTGGAAGACCGGGGCGGGCTGCCTCGCTGGGGGCCGAAGGTGGGGGCACTCGCCGTTCGTCTCTGGCTGGGGGCTGCGAGGGGGTGGGGCAGGCTGGCGCGGGGGCTGCCGGGGAGGAGCGGCGG